TTTTTTATTTCAGTACAATATTTAATATATTTCTTAAGATATTCAAGATTTTGTTATAAAATAGGTCTTATGTTAGATGATTTTTTCCAACTTTAGGTTAATGTAATTATGCTTTAGTCCATTTAAGGTAGAGTAGGATAAGCAATGATGTTTGATAGATTAGGTGTTAAATATATTTTCAATTTATGGGCTTATTAGAATATAATCCTAATATAAATCAAGGATCTCTGTATGTAAACAAAGTGGATTTTGTGAAATATCTCATTTCCCAGTTCTATTATTACTGACGTGGACATATTAGCTCATGTCTTTAAACTTTTGCGCAGAATGATTTCAAAACTATCTTGTCAGCTCAAGAAGTAGATCATATTGCTGAGGATAAGTCTGTCCTACCGACATGCCAACCACTATGGGGAAGAAATGGTACATTACAGAACATACTTATCAGGAGAATGGCCAAGACATTTTCTGTAGTAAGGCTTGACAGAACAAGGACAAGATAAAGCTAGCGTTAATTCAAAAACAAACCGTTTGATGGGACTATGCTTCCCAACTTTTTAAAAAGAGTTTTACAGTATCAGAAACATAATAAAATCTAATTATAGATGGAAAGGTCATGATTTATCCAGAATCTACTGCTAAATTAAGACAAATAATGAAGTTTGCTATGTAAAATATGACTATCAGAAAAGAACAAGTGGTTTTCATACAAGAAGATAAAAGCACAGTGCATAGAAACACACACTAGAACATAAGCAGATTTTCAAGCCATGTGTTTTTTGTCTTGTGTCTTCGATATGTTAAGAGAATAGTCATAGCCAAATGGTCAAATCACAGTGCCAAAATGTGGATGACTGGCACATTAATGCTGGTTCCTTGTTGTGTAGCAATTCAATACTTAAATATCAATAAAGGTATGATGGAGACACGCTCCACAGATTTTTCTAGTATTCTAGAGAATGTGTCCTTACCTCCCATCACCCTCCCAAGATTGCTGGTTGTGGGGTTTGTTGACAAAGGTATTGTTTCCACATCAGGATATTTGTAGTTCCAAGACAGGATGATGGTCAGGAATTCATCTATTAACATTAGTTTGTGGGATTGCACTATTCTACTTGGGGCTGCCATACCCCCAGACACCATAGACTGGGTGACTTAAACAATAGACATTTTCTTTCTCACAGTCTTGGAGCTAGAAGTCCAAGATCAAGATGCTGACAGTATTGATTTCTCCTGAGGCCTGTCTTGGTTTGTAGACAGTCACCTTCTCATTATATCCTCACATGGCTCTTTTTCCCTGTCATATATGCTCCTGGTGTCTCTTTCTTTACTTATAAAAACCACTAGTCCTATTGATGAGGGATTTACCCTTAATGACCTCATTCAACCATAATTGTTTTCTTAAAGGTCATATGTCCAAATACATATGTGACTTGACGTGCTATTTTTAGTTATTTAAGAAGAGGATACAGTAATCAGTGGATACTGTAATAGGAAAAATGAAGTGTGGGATCTTATACAAGGTCTTATGGAATACCCTTGTAATTCTGAAGGGATTCTTTGATGAACAGACCCCTCATGGAAAATCCAGTAAAATTTTCCAAACTTCAGTTTGAAGAGCTCGAGATTGCTAGTAGTCCACACAGTGACAAGCTTGATGTGAGGCTTCCTAAGTAATTCTAACGCAAACACTGACTGCCTTTTTAGTAGTCACCTAGGACTCAAATAAATAAGCATACATTGATCTTGTCTTTGCATAAGTAAGACTCATTAAGGTTGTGGTATCTCAGTGTGGCAGAACTGGGATGAGGAACAATAGGAACAAATCATTATAGAGTTTCCTGAGATTGGGGTTTTGTGCATCATGAAAGGGGCACAATGGGCCTGCAGGTGATCCAGGACACTTGGTGTTCTTGGCATAGGGAACTCCTTATGTGCCACTATCCAGAAATGTATTTTAACCTCCTTTCCTCATTGCTTCTTTCTCCCCATAGATGATTCTAGACAAAGATGGCCTATAAATGTGTTTGGTCTTCTGAAAACAAAGAAAAAGAAAAATCTGGGTTATAAGTCCTGATCCTACCACTGACTAGTTTATTTGACTTACTAGTTTATTTGACCTTAATTTACCAGTTATTAAATTATTTATACATCAAATTCCTCATATGTCCAATGAAAATAAGAATATCTGCCCTCACAGCGTTTTCATGTAGGCTCAGTAATGTAACACACAAGTACCTACTATGCTGTCCAGAACAGGGTAGACATTCAATTGTTTTTAGTTTTTCTCTTCCATGATAGTGTCAAGTAGGAGAATGAAGAAGACAATATCTGGAGAAGGAAGAAAAAGGGGAAAATTAAAGTTTCTACTTTTATATAAGTGGTTTAGCATCAACATAAGAAATTTATAAACCTTAACATCCTGCACTGCAAGTTGTAAATTAAGTACTATGCTAGGCAGTACAATAGGCGTTGCATTTGAACCATTTAGATTATTGTTACTGCCCTTTACCATATAGTGACAAGTTAATTCCAAACATGATACATTAAAATTGCCTGTTGATATGTTAATAAATCTTACTGAATATGTTTAAAGGTACCAGAACTGTTTTGTAAACACTAATAGAATCCCCTGCTGAAAACCCTTCCATCTTTCCATTGGCCATATTATTGAGTCTGAATTCCTTCACCTTGCATGATCTGACCCCTACTTCCTCCATTACCCTAACTTCCCCCACCCTGCTCTCTCGGCTCTCACCCACAATGCTTGGCTCCCCTTATACTGAATTATTTTGAGTTTCTTTTTACTGGACTCTTATACATGTGGTATAATCTAACTGAGATACACTTTCCCTCTGTACCTGGCTAATTCCTGATTATCTTTTAATTTTCCTGCAAAGTCTTAATCAAATATCTCTTGTAGAAATATCTACAATATATCTATTTACCGTGTGTACTTAATGTAACACCAGGCACATTAGGATTTCAGTAGTTGTTAAGTGAATGAATCAGCACTCAATCTAATTGCAAAGGATTACAATTATTTTTTCCATTTCAATAAAGTTGTGTAACCTGTACATTTTGAAACCCTTTTAAAGTAGAGGGGAAAAAAACAGTAGAGTAAGTGTATTCTTCCGAATACTTATTATTATGTCTTACTTTATACAATACTTCAGATCTAATACAGATTAAAATCTCCCTTCCTTTAACTGCTGTGAGGGATTTTTAAATGCTTATTCAGCCACTTCCATACCTTTTGACTTGAGTTTTTCAAGTGTTTTACTATAAAACACAAAGGAAGGAATTCTCACAAAAAGCCCTTTTCTCTTAAATTTGAACCTAGTGAAAGTGAAAGTAAGCTTAGAGGATATTTTCAAAGATAGTCAGAAGATTTAGATTGTTTACAAAAAAAAAACAAAAACTATATGTTTCTAGAGAAACTTATCTCAAAAAGAGACATTAACAATAAACTAGTGATTACAATGAAGTTGAACAATCAGGTTATTCCATTGAGCTTTTCCTTTTTGTGAAACTGTTAACCTTCTGGAGAATTTTCTTTCAGGTGCATCTGCTTACACAGAGAACAGGATCTAAAGGTGTAGTATAAAACACTTCTAAGAAAGTGAATGGCGTGTGAGCTTTTTTTTATTTGCTTCTCAAGTAATTTACTTTAAAAAATTAACATCTGCTATTTTGAAGCTAATCTTAGTGTGTTGAATGTTCTTAACCATTTCTCAGTCCCACAGTCTTTTATCTTGCTGCTCCTGCTGTCTTCCCACCACCCCTGGTTCCATTAGCAAACCCTGAGACAGCCTCAGACTTACCCAAGTACTGCTTTGGTTTCAGCTGCTCTACTGCAACAGGAAGTGAGTGTTGGGGGTTTCTCTGTGGCACAGTTGTGATAAAGCTGTGGTGGTCTTATCTCTCTCTTAGGTAGTGGCTCTTTATGACTATACAGCGAGCCGATCAGATGAACTAACCATCCATCGCGGAGACATTATCCGAGTGTTTTTCAAAGATAATGAAGACTGGTGGTATGGCAGCATAGGAAAGGGACAGGAAGGTTATTTTCCAGCTAATCATGTGGCTAGTGAAAGTAAGTTTTATGCTCCCTTCCTGGTTTACTAATATGGTCTAACTGATAGTCCAAGATCTTATCATTTTTTACCCTTTAATTTACTGTCTTTGTAATCTTTGCATGTTTACCAATGGGTTTTTCTTTTCATACTCATGATGTAAAAAAACAAAAAGAGGAGGCACTAGCATGCCCCAAAACTGCTGTATTCTGCAACTGGAATGTTTGCTGATTGTACTTGTCATCCCAGGGGACTTGCCCCGTGACTTCAGCTTTCTCCCTTAGTTCCTTTTACCCTGCCACCAGCTACATACATTTTCATCACCTCTTCTCTCTCCACAGTGACTCCTCAGCTGACGAGCATCCTAAGAACCCTTAGTTCCCCAACTCCCACTTTGCACACTTCAGTCCTAACTGGTCACCTGCTAAAACAAAAGTTCAATAGATTGTTCCATCTCAAGTATATTAAGCCTTCGCTTGTGAAAGGAAAAAAATCAACTAGAAAAGAAATTCTAAATATGAATTCTGAATGCTGTAGATTCACAGCCAGGCCTTGAGAGGTGAAAATAGAACTAACAAAGCCTGAAAATAAAAGAAATGATTTTTTAAAAAAGGAAAAAATTATGGTAATACTTCTTCAAAAGAATTCTTCCTATCAGTAGTTAACTTGCAGTGTGGAGAGAGCACAATTGCCAGGGACCATGAAGATTGCCTTCTAATCCTAGCTCAGCAAGTTACAATGAGGTGCCTCAGTTTCCTCCTGTGAAAGAAAGACATTGAGCTATATCAATTCTAATTTTCTTCCAGAAACACTAAAATCATGTGATTTTGATTTAAAATGTAGTAAATTGAGAACACTCTGTTTAAATATTTTTTGTTAAGTCTTCTGTTACCACAAAGAAGTAATTGTTATAAATAATGGTTGGTTTTCAGGCTAGTCTGTGAAACCCCATCTAACTCAAACCATGACTGAACAAAGGTACTATTGATTCCTAACCTAAGTTCTGAATTTTGAGAGCAAAACAGATGGGAGGAAGAAGAATTTGTTTCCTCCTTAATTAGTGAGTGCTGGTCTAATTCTAGATAAAACTCTCTTTGGCACCTTCATAGTACTGTGTCTGTGCCCTAATCCTTCCCCATACCCCTCTCCCCATTTTCTCAAGTGGCCCCAAGT